ATTAATTTCGTTCACGACTCGTTTGAATCCAAAAACCCGGTGTATTTTTCTTCCACCCTGTGGTACTTTTTTTTTTTTGCACAAGGGTAACGCGCGCATTGAATATTGCACGTCTGACAAAAGTATCTACCCTGGGTGGTCCATTTCAGACACGAAAATGTTAAGTAGAGAATACGAAGTCGCGGGATACACTTGGGTATATATGTTTTATTAGTCTCTTTGTCTGTTGACCGCGTGCCTTTCTGTCCGGTGGGCCGGAATGTCGCCCGATGTCTCTATCCGCTTCTTGTGTCGTGGTCATCCAAGTTGTGGTCATCGTGGGGACCACACCAATCGATAATTACCACCGAAAATTGCTCCCGCGTTTTCCACTTTTGCCGGTTAAACCGCCTTTTTCGTCTCATTCTCTCGCTCTCTCCCACGACACACGATTTTTTCGCCACCGGTTGAATTCATGATCGGGAGGGGGGGTGAAAATATATAGATTCAGTCCAGTGAACTCGATATTTATTCAAATTTATTTCACCTTTACCTTCTTCATTGTCAGATCGATGGAAATTTTCATCTATTTTGGGAGAGGCTATGGGGATAGCAAATAAATTTTTTTGATTTAATTCTTGAACTGAATTTTTACCGATGCGTCAGGCGAATTTAAATCATCTTTCGTAAATCGTTTTATTCCCTGTGTAAAACGACAAACGGACGATTGCCGGTCTTTTCCTACGATTCCCCGGAAAACTCTAGTATTTCCCGGGAGATGATCATCATTGAATCACTAATTATATCCGAGTTGTCACTCTAAAATACTCGATTCTTGTCGGTTCGGGCGAGCGATGGGTAAACGACTTGTTCTCCGTATAAAACCAGTCATCACTTAAAATCATGCATTATCATTCACGGTGTACCCACGGCCGTTATCAATTCCAATAATTCGGTGTTGCTACGTTTATCGTTAATTTTGTTGTCATTTTTCCCTGACATCCGACTGATTATTTCCAGCGAAATGAATTTATGGAAATCAGGACAAGTTTAAGTCACGTAGCTGGTGGCATTTGTCATTGATTAAATTGGATCACGTGTGGACCTTGACTAATTCGACTGGTTAACACTTTTTTTTTCACTCATAAACATCCATTGTCTTCATTTTTCAATATCCAAGTCTGTCCACAATTTTTTCACTAATAAATCAAATAAAAATCAATCAATAAATAAAAAATCTAAATGAACTCTAATTTATGGTAATGACACAAATCTGTTTATCCCACTTAAAATTTATTTCATATCATTCCATGATTCCATAAATTTTTTTTTTTTGAAAATTGTTTTTTTTTTTTTTTGGGTGCAATGCTCGCAGACGGATGTGCCATGTGGAATGAATTGAACTCGACCTCCGAAATAAACAAAATATTTCGTAATCCAACACCGGTGATTCATTGAAAACGCCTTGGGATCATTTTCCCCCCATAACTTCCTCATACGATCTCACTAATACGCACTTGTATTTATCGCACTTCACATACTTGAAGATCGCCTCGAGCTTCCCACGGGTTTATCGGTATCAGAGACCTCTCCGCGAACAATAAACAAACATAGTGTCAACACGAGAGACTAAATAAACTTGGCATCAACGGGATTTTATGAGGTGTTTACACAGGGGATAAATTAGCATCTGATTGCGGGTTTTTTTAATGGAATTTTGGGACCAACAAAATCGATTTTCAAACTGACGGCTCAATTCGGCGCGAAATCAAAATAATTTACAAAAATTGATTAAAATTCCCGCGGAATATTCGGAATATTATAAATATCGGTGTCCCAATAATTTGAATTATTTTTTTGAGCCAAATAAAATTGATTTGAAAATGATTTCAGAGTGATCGCTGACTCGATCTCAAAATCGAAAGAATTTCTCCCAAAGATAATCCGCTTTTCCGTGGAATTTTCGGATCAATAACAAATGGCAGTTGAAACGTCAATATCGGTGTCCCAATAAATGTAACCGAGATATTTAACCCGAATTCGTTAATCCTGAAAATGCCCCAATAAAATATTCAAATAAATCCACTTAACCTCGGTTCTCTTCAAGAGCTAAGGCCCAAGCTGGTATTGTTTTCACCTCGGTTGTAATCCGTTAAACGAGTGGCGACGGACCCAATTTTCCGTCATAACGGGTCATTAGAACCTTGAGAATTCATTAACAATGGGAAAAATCGGTATGTATTTCCCCCTCATTGTGTAAATATTTAATCCTGACGGGGTGCGGCCGAGGGGCGATGGGACTTATCCGATTAACCCCCGGGCCAGTGGGGACTTCAGGTAGAGGCCGATGGGATTAGAACGCCACAGGTGTGGAAGTCCATCACAATCTTCAAAGCCAATGGAAGGAGTTGATACCCCAACAATAACTGTTGGTCAACAACTAGGAGCTCAAGATTATACAGCTAATTTACACTCGGGGAAAAAAAACCGTTCCCCTGCATTTTTCCCGTGAATTTTCCAGCACTCAGGGGCTGTCCCCACTTGACCTTGATTCCCCAGGACTTTAGAGCCTTGACTATTTGAAATTTTACTGGTAAATTTATTATCGGCTTGTCACTTGGATAATTACATCGACTTCAGAAATCAATGAACTGGTCATTTTTCTGTGGATGTTTGGAAAAGATATTTTGAGATTTTTTGAAATTTCTGGAGATCAAAATTGGGATTATTAAAGTCCTGATTGGAGTCTTTTATATTTTTCTTTTTTATTTTGACAGACTCGTGAGACTTTTTAGTCAAACTTAAATTTTTAAGTGTTAAATCAGTCATTAAATCAAAAACTCTTACGCACTCGGGTTTTTCCGAAATAATTCCACCTCAAATTGCGCAACTCATTGATGAAATTACGGACGCGTCACCTCGCGCGTCATGACACCCATTACGAAACTGAACAAATTACGGGATCAAATAATGAGAACTTTGAGATTAGGTGAAACGCAATTACTTGAAAAATCAGAGTGATTGCAGTGGGCACCTGTTCGGAGATTCAAAAAACGCACGTGCAATTGTCGCATGACGCCATGACACCGTGATTACACCTCGAACATCGAAGACATTGCGAGTGATTTCAAACAATATATTGGCGCCAGTGATTAAACATTTCAGTGATGAATCGATTTATTACGGCTTGCGCACCTTTTATTGAACATGAAGTTATGATTTTTTTCCACCGGAACAGTTTATCGAATATTAGTTGCATGACTATTTCAGATACTAGTGACTCATTACCATTTTTAAGTCATTTACATCATGAATAAAATGGAATTTCAAGTAATTAATTAGTTTTTTTTATTTAACGGATAAAATAGAATTTTTGAGTCGATTCAACGGAAGAAATTCTGGCAATTCTAGGTTTCGGAAAATTCCGAGGAAAAGTTTCAAATTTTCAGTGAACGAAATGAAAATCGTTTGTTTAATTTTGAATGGTTGAGTTAATTAATTAAAGAGGATATAAAATGGCGAGTGAGAGTGACGAATGCCTAGGAATTTCTCGATAATTGAAAGTGAACGTCACGATGGAATTGACCCCGTAGAAAAAACCATAATATCCTCTAATTTTTCCACGAGGAATTTTCCCCGCTCCTGTGACTAATCCGAGGAAAGATTGTCTAGGAAAAAAAAATCACGGATGAGTGGTGATTCCACCGGGAGCCCCGGGAATTCAATGCCAATGCGATAATCTCATAACATAAAACAAATAATCATTACAAAACCGTCAAATTACCATTTAAACGTGGGGCAGAGTAAATTTAAACTATTAATAGACATACAGTGACGTCTCACCTTGTCAGGGAAAATGTTCCCCAGGAAACTTCAAGTTTCAATATTCGCGCGTCATTGATGATACTCATTAACACAATGATAATTTGAGTAATATCAGATAAATTTGTTATTACTCCGTTGTTACGTCCGACCGGAAGTGATACAAGAAAATTATTGGGCCAAATATATCGCATGAGAGCGGATCGATTGATTTTGAGAAAAACAAATATTGTCATTTGATGATTTTTCAATTATTCAATTTGAAAAAATCATTGGGAGAGTATTCACTTACATAAGGAGCGGCGGACTTGTGTTAATCATCGTGACAATGTGCGAAAATTACACGTGCTATGATCGCCTGTCGTCACTCCATTGTGCGGTAATTATTGTCACCGCGGGTAAACGGTAATTGCAGATTCAGTGCGATGATCCTAGATCGGGAATTTTTCTGCCGTATTCTTTTATTTATTTCCTAATTATTCAGTTACAAGGCATTTATTTCAGTTTTATCGAAGGGATTAATAATCCTGAATTATAATCGCGCCACCCTGCGGTGGCGTCCCACAATCCCAAAAAAATGTCTTCTCAAATATTTTAAATTTATTTATTGCCCTCGATTTCACCTGACATCCCCAACCTAGCCTCTCATAACCAAAAACAAAAACTCCTGAATCACAGGAAAACATCTGAAAATACTCTCGTCCACGGATGACGTCAGGAATCGTAACGAGGAATTCCGTTGGTTTCCGACTGTCTTCCGCGAAAGGTGTATCCCGCGGGATATTCCTCTTGCTTCCGGTGGCCAAATATCCCGGTGAAATCCTCTGAATCAAGCGAAATCCTGAAGCGTGACGCTATGGCTGATGGTGGGAGGGAGGGGAGATGCGTCTCGCCGTAAGATTTGTCAGGTGGTGGGGGGGGCGCGTCTAGTTATGAATGAGTCGCGTGGGTGGGGGTGGGGTAAGAAGGGGACAGAAGGGGGATAGGTAATGAGGTAGAGGGGATTGATGTGGAGTGGTGGGGGTTGTTAGGACCTCAGGTCGACGCGGGGAAACACCATGACATGTTGGTAGTGGTGGGGAGGGGCGAGGATTGGCCTAAAGCGGGGTGAACGGGCCACGTGCTCTACTCCTTTCAGTGACTTTACCCAATCGTATATAGGCACTGGAACGCCACGGAAACTGATTAGTGTGACCCAACGCCTCAAACGTTCATCACTTGGGCTAATTGAATCATCTCGTTGACAATTGAATTTGGTGGTGATCGGTGGAGGTTTGGGGGGTTATATTTTGGTACGGCTGGTCAATACTTGAATCGGGGACTGACCGAACGGCTCACGGGACTCACCTTCTGCCTCACGGTGATACTTCACTCGCTGGACTCACCGAGTCAGTCACATTCTGACACTCGAGGTAGCACGACCTCTCGACTTCACCTGAGAGCTCTCACTAGGTGTCAACCTGATTGATCCATTTGTGATTCTGTGACATTTTTTTTGAGAGGTTTTGGGGTGACAGTTCGGATCTTTGGATTTTTTTTCTTTCTTTTTTTTTGCGTTTCTTTTTTGATGAATTGATTTTGTGAACACGTGGGGAATATTGACGGACGGATACACGTGGGCACTGGTTTGGGTTGGAGTGCTGTGATTTTTTGGTGATGCGATGAGTGTGGATACAGTGGTGAGGGCTGATATTGGGATGGAGGAGATTATGATGAGGGACCAGAGGACGACGTATCACAGGGTGAAGACTCAACGGGTTCGGTCCGACACGAAAATTTATGATACCAGGACAATTAATTTTTGTGGAATGAACCGGGGGGTGTGCGATGGTCATTTTGAGTGCAAGGGTAGAACGAGGGGAGAGTGTAATGAGTGCGGGGTGAAATATCTGGTGGATAATGGGATTAAAAAATGCGGGAGAAGTTGGAGAGCGACAAGTGGCGGATACAAATGGCTGAGTAAGTTTCTTAAAATTTTTGAGTTCCGAGATATTTTATTTTTTATTCTGCCTGCCAGAAAATTTTTAAATATTTCCTGCAATCGTTTGAACCGATGAATTTCTAAAAAAATTGGAATTTATGGGGTAAAGAGAAATGGCGAATAACTAGAATTTTCCAGAGTGAAGAAAAACATTCACTGTAATAAAATCATAAATAAATCAAGGGACTAATTACTACCCTAATTTCGAGAATTGAGGCTTAATTTCCTGGTAAATTACTGGGGGAAGGGGAGCAGGAAGATAATAAAATAACGAGAATTTTCTAGAGTGAAAAAAGCGCTTAGAGGAAATTGTCGACTGTAATAAAATCATAAATAAATCAAGAGACATTGAATATCTAGTCAGGTGTCCATTCATCAGACGATCAATTATACCGAACCCGAAATTAATATTCTGCATTAACAAAGAGTATGGCCCACTGTCTCATTGTCACCCAGTCTCAAGGGTATAGCAAAAATTTTTAAGGTGCTCCACCATTTTTTTCTCGCTTGAATACCACCTCAACGGGCATTACTCACCCATTGTCATAATCTTTCGTTAAAAAAAGTCGCGATAAGCCCGTGGAATTGAATCTGCAGTGACAAAAAAAATATATACAAGACCATTCCATGCGTATTTCCACGCGCGCCCACGCGGCGGAAATCGATTGGCGCGCTTTTTAACGGCCGGAAAAGCCGTCGAGTCGTGCCTCGATTAACTTATCTCCCGTCGGTTCCACTCATCATCTATCTTAAGACAGTCATGAATGGAGGGCCCAAATTCGGTAGCTAGAAATTCAGTAGTCAAGGGCTACTAGCCGATTTCCCCCACAATTCCACGAATATCTCTGAATCTAAAAGAGACACCGGAAATTTCATGGGACCATTTTTTTAGAGCCAAATAATATCCACAAAAAAGGTATCAATAAAAATTTCGCCATCTCTATCAGGTTTCGAGATATTCCTCTAAATATTTTCAAATTCGAGAAATCGGTGAAAATTTCAGGGATCGAGAATAATCCGGGAATTCCCCGCACGTGTTTCAGCTTCAGCCGCAATTTTCGAGTTTGAATACTTGAGATTTAAAAAAAAAAGTAGAAAATATCGAATTCCCTCAGTCCGCAATTTTTTAAGTGAATTCTCTTTTCACGATAGAACAATCCGAACAAAAAGAGAATAATCCACAGTCTTTTATTCCATACCGCGACGCCATTATATCTCAGCACTTTACGTCACGCGGGCGAGCCGATGAATGTATTAGTCATCCATAACCTCCTCCCACCCCCCAGTAATCTGTCTTTTATTTAACTCCAGAGACGAATCTGGAGCTGAAAAATCCCGCGGGATCATCTCGCCGTTCAGCAACCGATTATTTTAATCCCGTAAATCGATGGAGAGTCGTTTAACCCCTCGTTACCCCAGTACTATCGCATATTCACGACCCTGACTCCTCATTTTATTCATCAGTGGCCAGAAGAGGGGCCACCTGTTGAGCCGATTCCACAAGTGGCTTAAAGCACCCCTTCAACTCTCGTTAAAACCATCTCCCCGTGAAAAATGTCAAATAATATTTTCCCTCTCCATCGATAATTTTTCAGAAAAGGAAAACCTAAGAAATTGTACAATAATTTCACTTCAAATTAATCCCAAAATCTAATCCCCAATTTATCCCATTTATTTTCTGCATCTCGAATTTTTTCGAAAAAAAAAAATGATGGCAAGAAAGTACTGAAGTGTAATATCCACAATGAATCCCCCGGAGGAACGTTAAAAAATTTATCCAGCGACCTACCGCAACGTCGTACCTCCTGGAGTTGACACACGCGGAAATTCTCGGCTGTCCCCCAGAAGAAGTTGAGGGAGGGTTGGTTAAGGTGAGCGCACAACGAGGGTATCGAAGTAATGGGGTATAATTGTCGAGAGTAATGCGAGGACAGTGCGCCATTACCGCATATTTCCGCAGCTTCTTCACCGCTTCAAACGTCCACGATGATGCCCTCGGCTGGGTTAACGCATTTTTTTTCCTCTGTCCCCTTCCCCCGGTGCAGAGTCAACAGCGGTTTCACAAGAATTTTCACTGGCCTGTGCTTACCTCTGGTTCATCCGTTCACTTGTCCTCGCGATTAAGTGACAGCAGTCCAACATGTTGAGCACCCGATACAAAACAATCAGAGATTGTTTTCACGGGGTACACGCGGAGGGTAAAAATTAATGACGTAGAATAGCCCGTGAAGATCTGATCCAGTATCCAGGTGGATGGATCAGGTCATTAGGAGGTTGTTAGTCTGATAAACGATGTTGTTTCTTCCACACGGTTGAATCATACTGGATCATACACTTGCCGTCGGTGGATGAGAAGACAAGAGCAATTCTATTTATACACCAACCGTCTGTGTTGTCCGAGTGATTATTGGACTGATCAATGAATTATTTACTTGCAGGGTTAGGTAGCCTACTAGTGACGCTGCTTGTGGTATCGGTACAGGGTGCACCAACGATGACACTCGAGGACAGACGACTGAATTCACCAGAGAAATGGATGAATCCTTGTGGCGAAGGACTTGCCACGGAGGAGAGTGACGGTGAGCCGGAATATGGTCCTCTGACTGATGCTGAGCTTCTGAATGTCGTAGCTGTTCAAGCGAGAACTGCACTCCATCAGGCTCAAGGGTTCAAGGACAATTACGTAAGTAATCATTACTATCTGTTATCGCGTAAATATCTATTGGGCCTCAATCGTCTTCCCTCCAATCGTCCAAGCTCCAGCCAAAACTCTTCACTGGGAAATCGGCAAATGGCTTTCCTATTTCAATTTGCAAAAACGTTGGAATACATCCAGGATATCCTCTTCATCAGTCTCTGATTGCGAGTTTCATCGGAAGGATTAACGCATCATTGCGGTATTCATCTCACTTCCATGAACCCTCGAGTACTCCATTAGATCATCGAGGGGTTCCGTTTCAGCTACTTGTGAGACTGACAATCAGCAGAGATGATGTTTTAAAGTAGACACCATTTAGACAGCTGGTTATTCTTGATTTGGTTCTCGGTTCTGGTTAGATTCTTGGGAAAATGTTATCTTAAGCAGGTGTTCTGATACCGAACTCCTCTTGGCGACCCACTGTCTGGTGGATCGGTGACGTAAGTCCCGCGTTTTCACTCGTCAGCATCCTTGGAAATAGAAAATAGTGTTCATTACGGGTGAATCCATCGGGTGGATCTCATTTTTCATCGGTATTCTTGGAAATCGTGAGACAATTCATTGCGGGATTTTATCGTTCATGGCGGTTATCGGTAAACAACCGGCATATCATAAAGATTTCAATAAATCAGAATCGGAAGCTGTCTACCACTTGGACAGTCCTTTGCCCACACCGTTCACATGCATACTCTGGCTGCATACTAAAGTGCAGACCGGATATACAGCACGTCGGCTATCGGGCCCTGATACACCATGCCGGCGGGCCCCAGTAGTAGCTTCTCCTCGGGATATCGCAGATACGTGTTTGTCACTCTCTCCAGCCCTTTCTTTAGTCTCGTCTCGGCGATGGGAATTTTATGAGCTGGAAATTACGAGATATTCGACACGGGAAATAAAGTCAGTATCGATCTAGAGTTTTTGCGTGAGTTCACTATTTTTTTTTTATCAGGTTATGCCAGCGCGCAGTGCAGTGACGCCACCGCGAGGTGGTGCACCGGCAACTCCCAAAAATTTTTCACTCTCAATTATTTGTTATGCGGATTTTTTGAGTAATCACAAAAAATTTTTTTAATCATCTGACAACACTGGTATCACCGGTGCCTGAATTCACGATAGAATTATTGCTCCCGCATTTTTATCCGCTAATTGGTTATTACCCCTTGAATACGTAATCCAGATTTTCGGTGTTGTTAATGTCAACCGGTTTACATGAGAATTCGCGCGGCACATTGTCTCCAAGGTTAACCCGGTGCGAGGAATGTCTCACTGGAGATTTAGAATGGGGTTATGAATAGTAACAGCTCTACCTGAGACATGCGTAAACTCCTCAATGCCGAAATTGATTGGACCCTTCCGGGACCACCGGCGCCGCGGAGGATTAAAAAGAAAAAAAATCACCTGGAGCACGAAAAAAAAAAGAAAATAAATCGAGTTTATAATCGATTGGCGTTCATTCACGGTATCAAAATCCGTCACAATTACAAGTTGTCTCGCGTTACAGGTTATACGATAGGTGCAATGAAAGAATTATCACCGTGGTATTGGGCGTGCTGCACGTCGTGAAGGCATTGTATTATCATAATAATTCCTTGAGTCGAGATAAGAGTGGACAGGGGCTGTGAAATGATCCCCGTGAGCCAGCTGACACAGTAGGAATCCCCGGCTCAATGAATTGTTTGGGATAATATCAAATGCTGCATTTGCATCAATTATTTTCAGGGCGCGTGGCAATGGCAATTGCACAAGATTTTCTTGATTAAAATTTGCAATGAACTTGCTTTCATTGAATGATTTAAATGTCGCAGTTGTCCTTTTTTTTAATATCACCTCTCAATTTTTTTTTCAATTTTCTGGTGCAAAAAATTTTATTCCGCCATTGCTATGTTCAATTGGCGCCTGGCACACGCGAGGGACACCCCAGTGGACAGTTTAGTCACCGATTAGCCTCTGGGATCCGTAGCCATTTGCATTTCCACGTACTCTCATTTTCCCGAAGTTAACTCGGCTTTACTCTGTCCACAAGCTGACTAATTCCCAAGTTGCGTCAATAAATCAACCGGTGGTTTACAAACTGGGGGAACGCTCTAAAATTACTTGAAGTAATTATTCATGCCATTGTTCCTTCATTGAGATCAATTGTCTGTGATTAAAATAAATCTTTGATACATCTTTATTTTGAGAACTAAATCGGATTTGATTGAGTTCTCAGGGAATCCCCCGAATTTCTGGATTCCACAGGTGCATAATCACTGGAATTATTTTTATTAATATTAATTAATAATTACTGAATTTTTTGTGGAATTTCTGAATGATATGATTGTAAATTGGAGTCGTGCGGAGATCCTCATGGGATTTTTCTCTAGAATCTACTGAGAAATTTGGCTGCCAGTTAAATCCCGTTGTTGATTTATTTTTATTTCATTACGCAATGACAACTAGAATGTCCGGTATCCCTTCGCGGTGGCCGTTATCCTCCGAGGTATATTGATGCTCCTGAATTTTTCTTTGTCTCAAAAAAAATATTGAGGATCGAGTTCGTTGGTGAGGGAAGACGATACTTTAGCCCACTCCTTGTTTCGACATGTGCTTCTACCTCTTACGGATGATCTCATCCAAGAGAATGGATCGATCGGGCGTTTCAACTAATTCTTCTTTTTTTATTTTCGGCCTACCTCCAGATCAAACAGACGTTTAACACCGACTTTGCCGTTCTGCACTCGGAGTGGAAGGACAACCACTACGATTGGCTGCCTGGTCTCGATAAGATACCGAAACAACTCGGGGAACCACTGGCACCGGAGTACCTGAGCAAATTGGGATTAGAAATGGTTTGTGTTATTGTTTACTCACTGGTGCATGAAGTTATTATTGAAAATCATTTCAAGACGTGCCTTTGATTTTATGGACTGTCGAATAATCATTTCTCAATAATTCTTTTTAATCATCAGCTTGACAATATTCTACTGGACATCTACGAGTACATGCAGACGTACGCCGTAGGTCTGGAGCAAATAGTCTGGGATCAGGAGGATCATCGGCTTGAGTTCCTCCAGAAGTTCAAGGACACCGAGTCAAGTCTCCAAACGGTAAGCCATCAACCATTTCTCGTGTCGCAATCATCGCTGAACAATCAATAAATAAAAAAAAATGAGACAAAGAAAATGAAACAGCTCTTCAAAGTAACAATGAAGAAATGGTGTCAGCTTTCACAACGCCAGACCGCTGGCTCAGGACGAAAAGCAATTCCGCAGATTTAACGATTCTTCTGGGTTGATCCACCGAATCACTGAATTTTCATTGGTGTTGCATTGCCCTGTTTAAATTCAAAAGGAAAAAAATTCAAAGAAAAATCAAATGATTTTTCGATTTTACACTGGTTTGGTCATTCTGACCGTTAGATTCAACTCCCTCGTCGGCTTGAGCTGTCATATACTGATGTTCTCTGGTGATTGGTGTTGCAGGTGCTGTGTGAATTGCAAGCTGCTCTCATAGAACGCGGAGTAACACCGAGAAACAACATAACCCGCCAAGTAATGCCCAATGATTATCGCGGTGGTATGTCGTCACAGGCAACATTCAGAAATTTACGTGACTGGCTTATATTTCGTGACTACATGAACGGATTGGAGTACGTTATAGAGGTATTTGGACACTTGGGTCGTGGTGTCAAGTCCTGAAGGCGGCTAGGCGGATGCCGGCGAAGGGCAATCAGACGACGACTCCGTTACTTAAGGGAATTGTCAGAACGACTTTAGTCTGGAGGCTCTACTATCTTAATGAGAAATAAATGATGTCGATAGCTTTAGACTGTGGGATTTTTTGATCGAGAGACATTGGATCGTATCACTATGTCCGGGACAACATGGCTGTCTCGTTCATACGGCACAAAATGGCCGCTCCCGATATTTTGGGGGTTAAATCGCTTGAGATATTGATTTTCGTGATTATTGAGAACGCATCGGGGGATTAAATCATTGTTGCAGCGTTTCGATTGCTTTGGGACAGCTACATCTCCACTTTTGAGACATCTGTTCAACAAAATGGATGTCGCAAATGAGTTGGCTCAAAGCTCGACGTGGCAATTTTTGATTTTAAAACGTCGTTGAGTCTCAATTCAACGGGGATAATCATTTCTTTCGGTTTTTCTCGCAGAGTTTTCGGTCGGGTGTTCAAATTCGTGCTGACTATGAAGAAATGGCGTGTTTCATCTCCACCTGACATAGTCATGCCGATTCTTTGTCTCTGGATCGTACGATCAGTCTTTTTTGAAGTGCAAATGGAACTGTACATATTATATGTATAACTCACGGTAGAATCCATGTAATTTAGTAGGGAAATGAAATCTAGTGAGTCGTTAGAATTGCCGCCCTCTTCCCCCGGTTTTCCGCCGCATTCAATAATCGTTCCATAATTTCGCTAATTAACCGTTTTAAAAATGGTCGAATTGCATCTCCCTCTCGTATTCATCCGTATACTTATCAAAATTTTTTAATGATTGAGCATAAAGATCTAATGATCTCAAAAATTTATTACAATTTTTATCATCTATCTGAGACGGAGGTTTTTCAAATTGATAAAAGTCTTGCGATAACTTAAGAATTTGACAGATTCTAGCACTTGTTTTACTTCCAATTAGTGCTCATATTATTCTTAACAACTGATTTTTAATAATCACCTATGTGCAAGAATACAATATTTTATTCCGTCGCACCGACTTTAAATTCAATTTACACCGAAATCTCGGGTTTTACGTAGGCAAACAAATTTTATATTAATTTACATAAAAAAAAAACGGTAATGCGGTTTTGTATATTGTTTATTTGATGAGGGATAATAATGAGATTACGTTTAATGAGTAAAGACAGAGAGTGAAAGAAGGGCATTGCCAGCATATATTTGACCGGGGTGTACAGGGAAACCCTGCCTCTCCAGTTGGGTTTATTCACGCTGGTAAAAATCGCAGGGAAAAAAAAAATATCACCAGCCGACCTGTACACTCTCATACATAGATATACGCAACACGTACACAGTATTTTGCGGTTTCTTCACCTTGCGAGAGAGAATACGTACAATAAATGCATGCGAAATACTGAGCCCGCGTAATCCTCAAGGAATCCTCTCGTATCCACAACTTAATTGTAATTAATATTTATTAACTAACGGTAGTATTATCCTCGTATTTATTCAGATTATTTATTTTTATTTTTGTAAAGGCTTTACACTTCGTATTCACCAACCAATTTTTTTTGTTGAAAATTGAATTTTTGGGGAGAAAATGGTGGTGTTGGTTTACGAAATAAAAAAATCTAGTGACTCGTGTGAATACGGAACAACTTCTCCTGCTGAAACATGAGAAGAATTACGAGATTTGAGGCATGATTGTTTTTTTTTGTCTGTGAAATTCACTCGTGTCACTAGTTTATCCAGTGGAATACCTATTTCCTCGTGAATTCGTCGTGTCGCGCTGCTGCTGTCACCTTTCATGAACTATTTATAAAAATTCACGCATTCACTTCACCCTAGACAATTTAATGTACGTTACGCACTCTAGAAATATTACTCTAAGAAATGTTTATCGATCAACGAATATTTCCACGAGCTTCATCTCCCGGTTCCTTCATTTTCCGCATTTAAGCACGATTTTTTAAATAAAGAGCCTGTGATGTTCAATTTTCAATGCATCCCAGACTCCGTCATCTCGTGTCTGTGATAAGCATCGCAAACGTATTATATTCCTTGTAAATCCATCTCCATTATCGTTTTATTTATTGTAACACCAGTATTCAATATCCAATCAATCGACTTTAAAATCGAATTGATGTCTTTGTTTTTTTTTTTAATTTTATAATTTATACAGTAATCTAGGCGCCAAGAGCAGCAGCGTCGACCCAGTCTTACGGCAATTAACTAAAAAATTGATTGAGATTACAATTACAATAGAAAAACTGAAAAATCCTATCTGTCTGAAAAATAAACCCAGCGATCTCTGTCAGTACTACATCATCTGTATTAATCGAAACAACAGATGATATCCGGTGTTAATAAAATTCGAAAAAGCAATGATTAGTCTATTGCAATCTTAAATAATTTAGGACTGAACATGAGAAATTTATTGTGCGATAATAAATGGACAAAAAAAATTGTAATTTTAATTGTCAACCGCTTAAATCGTATATATTGTATATAAAGAGATTCCGCTATAACTTACGGAAAGAAACATTAAAGAAAATTGGAAATTATAAAATTATTATATATGTGGATATGTAATATGTAAGGGCCCCTCTCTCAGTTGCCCGCTCTGTTGTATCATAATAAACCAAAGACCGTTCAACATCGACAAATTGTTTATAAAATCTATTCATTAACCTCAATATTTTATTTACAGATTTGATTATTGCATTTTTATTCTGGTAATCGGGGTATTTTTGGTACAAAGACTTCGAGAGACGATTGGTTTCCCATGATTTCGTGATGTCTACGAATATGTTGAATCTGAGTGTTTGAGAGGAAACGAGTTAGTACATGATCACGGGTTTCCGACGGCCTCTGTACCGTGCCGCCATGTTTACCAACGCTGTTAGCTCGTTGTCATCGCCCTGGTCGTGCAATACCCCATCCGTTCTTGTTTGACATATTCCTGACATTCTCCCTGGGCCCTGTATGCCCCTTACCAACTGCCTCCAGCTGAGGGCATGAGGTGTCAATGTTTTAACTCTCCATTAACATCGATTGGGACGAGGTGCCAGGGAGGCGCCATTTTTTTCATTAATTTCAATTCTACAACATCAAAATCTCTGCTAAAAAAATAATTCATCCAATGGTGCGCCACCTGGCGATGGCGTCCATGCACTTTCAATATCCATAACCTATTGATTCGTTATTGAATAAAAACTAGTGGCAAATGATTAATTTCAGTTTCAGTTAGTGAAGATATTTATTAAAATGGAAGATATCAATAATTCAGAGGTAAGGATGAATAAATAAATGATGTTGTGGACATCCCATGGTTATGAGGATGTTATATTATCCTCTCCAAACAAATCAGCATCATCGTCCCATAAACCATGTAAAACTCGGCAGTAAAAATGTTTCGAGATAATTCAAAAACTGAGGCGACACAGATCGTACCCCACGACATCATTGAAAAGGTGGGAACCCGTGTACCTCAGGACAGGTTGAACTCATACAAACGATTTCCTTCCAAATCCCAGTGGAGACTATCCGCCAAGACAGAGTCGGCGGATAGTTCCACACCGTGAAAAAAAGGATGCGTCGGTGTTGGTCGGCGGAAAGGCAGGTAGGCGCACGTTCGACGATCGGATCTCATGCGGCGAAGGTATGAATGAGTCGTGAGAAGGAGAGGCCCGAACTAAAAAAAAAGAAGAAAAAAAAAAAAGTACCCCAAAGCGCTCCCATGAATGGTCTTGGGAAAAGTGCGACGTTCCCGCGCAGGTCTCGACGACGACGCGGTGGATCTCTCCCTCGATGTCCCGTGATCCCTTTTTGGAGCAACTCCTGGGAAGCTACCAAAAATATCGTCTAGGTCCCGATCGCCCTGGGGCCCAAATACTTCGGCTTCCTTTCAGCTTTGGATAAAAAAAAAAATCGGCCTCGTTGTAATTAGGACAGTGCGCCCGCATGAATTTTGCTTTTGCTCGGTGCCCTTCCAACCCCTGCTTTATTATTCCGCCAAAGCTCGGACCTATCATTCGCATTCCACACGGACAAAAGACCGTTCTGACAACATTTTTATTGGAAATGTCAAATTTTTGATTGAAAATCCTGAATTTTATATTTATTCATGTCAATGGCGGAATCTGTCAAATTCCAATTTTTATTTCTCTCTAAATTTCATTAATTAATTAATTTATCGAGTAAATAAATTAATAAACATTATTATTATTGTGATTATTATTATTATTACCCATGCAAATTTGTCATATTCGGCGAAAAAATGTGAGAGTGAAAATATTTTATTCAAAGCCAATAATATTTTTTATATTTTTAATCCAATTTAATTTAGTTCATAATTTAAATATTTTAATTTTGCAATGATGAACTGTAAATTTCAGATTAGAAATGGCGGGATTTTCCACGGGTAGGCCAGAATTTTCATGAAATTTCCACTGAAATATTTATAATTCCTCAAAAAAAATTTTTTTCTCCTGGCATTAGCTTTTATGATCCTTCCGAAGAGAGGATGGCACACAGTCGTTGTTAACTGCCGTTGATTGAGGGGCGTTGCCGCACTAATAGGTTCCATCCACCTCCGCCCCCTTCTCCCTTCAAACTCGAGAGCACACGTTTGCTGAAACACAACCTAGATTTATTTCACGACTAATTTTGCCTTGTTAGCCAAACAGGATGTGCTCTCCAGAGGGGATGGGAGTACCGTCGGCTCGTGTGTGTTTGTTGTATCCTTTAACGGGTCTTAATGGCAGTGCGCTAACAATCTCGCCAAAAGTGCGGCCAATTCTCGCTCTATCCCTTCGTTATCCCCGCCGTTCCTCGCCGATTCCAACCGATCCCCGGGAAATCGTGAACACCCTGGCGATGGGGGTTCTCGATTTCCATTTACATTTTCAGGGGCAATTTGTACCGCGATTCGGCCAAATATCTCAACCTCTTCGGGCCCCGGGGCCTCTTCAGAGAAAAGCTGAGGCGTTCGTGGGAACCGCGTTGCCACTTCCCAGAAGCATTTGCCATGGAGACGCAGGCCCACCCGAATGGAAAGGGAAAACTGGGCATTCAAAATTTAATAAATGCATCAGACAGCGACGAAATCGCTGAATACAATTAAAAATATATCCTTCACTCACTAATTTGAGATTAAAAAATTTCAAATTGACACTCGAGTCCCAGATAATGACCTATCGATGACTGAACTCAATATTTCTGAGTCCCAATTCCCAGAAAAAAAAGGTGAAATTCAAAAATATAAATCTATTTATATTTCTATAATTTTCCCGTAATAATTTTCTCTTTTTTCTTCTCGCGTTTTCCTGGTGCAAATCGAAAAACGGCATTGGCCTCTCTCAGGGTCCCCAGGAGACACCGATGGTGGTCACAGCGCATTTTGTTTTAGACAGCTGTATTCCAAAAAACAATTCCCCCCTCTCAGTAAAAAAAAAAATCAGAGATGCATTCTGTCGCGCGATAAAAGTCCACCGAATGGCGAGTGGGAGGGGCCGCAGATACTGCCAACGAACACACGAACACTTTTAACGCGCTAATTGCAGACTGATACGGTAAACAGGAGAAAAAAAAAGTGATTGCTCTTTGGACACACACGGGGTTGTACACAATATCGCAGAAATGCCATGGGAAGGACCTCTTACGTCTTCCCATTAGAGACACACCAGGAATTTACGTGCGACTGGTGCTCGCAGAAGTCGTAAAATCCTCTCAGTTATCTTTCCCCGGGTCTAACACAATTTAGGCGTCAATGCACTTAAAGGAGAACAGGTGTATCCGAACTTTCAATTTACCCTCCCTCCCCCCCTTTCGCCCCCTTTCGCCTCCTTCCGCCCCCTCTCTACCCTTTCCAAATTACAGCGCCAGAAATCTGTGAAGAAATTATTTTTTTAGTGCAGCAATTTAGAGTTCTTTTCTGGTGTGCACTTGACGTTTGTAATTACTCTAAAAAAAAAATTGTAACTCAATATAGAAAAGATTGAAGTTTCACTTTCCCTTTGTTCCAGGCGACTGTGCCCTCGCAGAGCACAATGTTATCCTCTTGAAATGTACTTGAGCGTCGTGAGCCATTAACGATCGCAACAGATTTTGCGCGAGGGCCTCATTTGAGAAGGGTCCCGGAGAAGGAGAGAAATACCAGTGAAGAAGTGGTTGGACAGTCTGGTACGAGGTCGCGACATCGTGACCAACGGGCCCCAGCCACTGATTTACATATTGTCCACCTCGAGAGACTTCACCTTCTGTTTTTTTTTTTCTTTCTTTTAATGCCATAGGAGTTCCATAATAGCATCCCAGATCCAGATCCAAGTGTCTGTGTGTGTACGTTGGGTCCTGGAGCGTCTCCCGAGGTGCCACCAACGTTGATCTTCGGTTCAAAGGTTTAAAAAATGAAAAAAAATTCGCAAAAATGCACAAATATTCACATATTTTTACTAAAAATCTTGTTATTCAATTCAAGTCATTCACAAGATTATTTTTTCAATTGTCATTCACTCGCTGGAGGTCCGTGGAAAGAGCGTGTCAAATTTTTTTTCGAGTTTCCCTTTTTTCCGGTGGAAAAACTGAAGCGTTTGTCAACGAGTGTCCGTGACATCGATTACCGCACCTTCTGTCCAGGTGGAGGGTCAACCAGGCGCCCCCCGTGAAAGGTTGTAAAACCTCCATGGGGTTGCCTGAATGCTAGAGGAGATTAGGGGATTTGTAAAAACCTGGAGACTCGGTACGATAAATTCACAGGTTAAGGGCTTTCCCCGGGGATGGGATAAGCCCGTTGTCTGGAGTTACTGCCCCACAAGAAGCTAGTTTTCGGGTGCTTAACCTCTCAATTGCTGCACCTGACATGCGGATGTAATAAATCACTGTCTCAACAGCCTCTTGTTTTCAATTGTGACAGGCGAGCGGACGATTATGAGGACAGGTCATTTGACAGACGTCGGTGCCACTTGCCTCATATTTTCTCCACATTTGAATAGAATATGACGGACTCATGGTTTAAGGATCACCAAGTGTCATAAAAGTCAGACGTACTCGAAGGGCCTTTAAATTTTTGCACTCCCTTTGCGTCGCGGTTATGACACCGAGAGGTGCAGCGACGCCATCCCCAGGTGGCGTAATGTCGCGATAATTTAACCCTTTGGAATAATTCTGTGATGGATGCTGAGGGGTGTCGGGAAAATTAAAGCAATCCGTCAGGTTTGCAGTTGGTAATCGCCGGTGGTCCCCGGTGAAATGCCGAGGGAGACGGCGGTTTTGCGTTGGGAGCAACATCGGTAATCGGATACGACCCGGGGATACAAATATGTGCGCATTAATAGACGCCGCGCGGTGTGCTTCAACAAAAAAAAAGCATGAAGAAAGAAATGAAAGAACAGAACCCAAGAGTTTATTATGATTTCAAGGTCGTCTCGTGGTTCATTGTGTCCAAATTAATTTTTCAAAGTGAGGCCCGATGCGAACAAAAACCGACGAGTTAATTCAAATTGAACGTGAACCGACAGCAATCGGTTGAACGTCATCCACAGGGAGACAGGGGAAAACGGAGATTTCAAATTTTCAGTCTCTGACGACGACGCCGAGGTATGACTGGAGCGGAAACCGCCATTTTTGGAGAGGCCCCCCACTGGGAAATCTCGCAC